TGGAGATTTTGCTAAATATTTTCCCACGTCAGTCCAAGTCTAGCATGACTTGGCTAAGTTAGAGAGATATGACTCCGAGTCAGACTGATATCATTGAGCCGTAACCAAGTCACTGTCAATTCTGGTGCACCTCGTGATTTTGCATAACAAGAATCATAATAGGTTCGATAGGAGCCGTCGTATCAGACTCGACCGATACTTTGAACCTTGTGACCTCAAGACCTTAAATTACCCATGATATATTTACTTTGGCTACTTAGGTTTATAATTGAATTTAGAGCAATGCTACAACATTTATTAGAACTCACAATCTATTCAATGACAATGATTGATCAAATCTATATTTTAAGTCCAAATAACATTTCTCTTGAATTTAAGAATGTCCCGTGCATGATTCTTAGGATTTTTCTTGAAAATGCTTTTGAAACTTCAAATGTTGGTTTGAAAAAATAGATTGAGTCATGCAACGGATCCTAGTTAAGCAACATCCCTTGATGCTCGATAGAACAAGTTTTTGCTTGGTCTTAAGCTTAAAATCCAATAGGGACAACCCTATGCCCGTTGGCCTTCAGCCTGAGCGGTCTCTGAAACACTTGGAGAAAAATCAAGAATGGCTGAAAAGTTAGGTAGTGGAGATGGCTCCCAAGCCGCTCAGCACGAGAGATCCCTATCCAACAAATCTAGAATTGCCCCTTTACTCATTCTAATAACAACCGCCCCTCACAGCTCAAACGGTCCCTCGCGAATGAGTTTTCTTATTCACCTATTAAACTCTATTTACAAGGATTATATGTATATATGGTTGTGTCTTTTCTCACTAGGGTAAGTCTCTAAAAGCTAGAATTAGCATCTAGAGAGCAAATAACCCCCTACAGATCCCTAAGCTAGGAAGCAAGGATACTCACCGAGGGGTTGCCGCAGCAATGTCGGACACGTGTCTGACACTTGCAAAAGTGTCATGAACAGTAGCTTTGATTTTTTTTTTATCGGATACGCGGAGGACACGGCAGGGATACGGCAAGAGTACTTTTGTTATTTTAAAAACTTAGGGGGATTGAAACGACAAAAAAATTCAAGCTACGTCGTTTGGCTTAAAAAAGAAAAAACAAAAGGCATCAGGCAAATGAAGCTTCGACAGAATCAACAACACACTGTATTCCAGAGAGAGAGAGGAGAAGAGAACGAGCTCGAGAGGACCAGAGGAGGAGAAGAAAGAGAGGGAAGAGGAAGAAAGACTAACTTGCGACCGTGACCGCAATCTGGACCTTCGATTGCTGTCAAATCTCTTGTAGGTTTTTCTTGTTGCTTCAATTTTTCTTTTTAGATCTGCTACTGCTCCTCTTACTTCTTCTGGTCTGTGTGGTGGACTTTCAAAAAATTTGATTCGGTTAATTTGATTGGGTTAGGGTTTTAGGGTTTTCATAATTTGGGAAATTTTTGTTGTTGTTATTGTGTTCGACTCCTCTTGAGTTGTTTGTTATTATTAATATTGTTATTATATATATAAAAAAATATATAATTATTTTAATTAGTTGTATCCTCATCGTATCCGTGTCCTATATTTTGAGATTTGTCGTATCGCCGTGTCTGTATCATATCGGATACGACACCCGTGTCCATATTCGTGCTTCTTAGTCCCTAAGCATCTAAATACCAAAATCTACCTAGATTGATCTCATGTTTTATCTTCAAAAGTGAAGAAAAGAGAGAAATTTAGTAACACCACCAAAAATTGAGTGAAGAAGATCTTGGGAGGAGTACTTGAAGATCAAAGAGGAAAAGCCGAATCGTGGAGCTTGATTCGCCTTATTGAAGCTAGTACTAAGAACTTGTAGCGGTGAATCTGAAGGGAAGATACAAAAGTAGAATAGGTTAGGTGAACTACGTGTGATTTTTTCCAAGAGGTTTCCACGTTAAACTTTTTTGTGTCATGGTTGTTGGTTTCTTGCTTTACTTTACTCACACAAACTTGCAACTTCTCACACTCCATGTGTTTGATGATATTCTTGTTTGACTAATCTATCATATATTATCATTCTTGTCACAACTGTCCACCTAGAAAAGCCACTTGCTCTATAGTGTTGACACACAAGATAAGCACACCGCCGGACAGCAAAGTTCTCCACTGGCCAACTGTCTACTCAGTTAAGTGCAAAAAACATAGTAAAATCACGCAACACCCGCTGCTGGGGTGTTGGTTCCTTCATTATTTTAGCAAAAGTTCAGGTGGCTTGTGCTAGCATTGCGTCTTGACCTGGATTACATTCAATATTATGTACCCATGTTGCTATACGTATATCGGCTAATGGTATGCAATTTCTTATTTGAAAATTTAGATTAAGTATCTTGTACGTTGAATAGAGCAACCTTGCATCTATACATTCATCTAAGGGTTTGTTCATCAAAAGGGCTTAATTGAACCTAATTTCATTAATCAATTTGTAATTGTAGTAAGTAGGTCTAATTGGGTTTAGATTTTCGCAAGAAGTGTAAATGACATATTCATTCCTCCAAAAGGTCATGTTAGGTGTAATTTCACGTGTATAATCATGTCGTAGACGATCGAAACACACTTGTCGATATAATATCTTATGATTTAACATAAAATGTGATGCTTGATAGAACACAATAGACGTAGAGGATATGCGTAGTCAACACTTCCACATGTTTTTTTTTTTTTGAAATATTATTAGTGTTTATTTGAATTTAAATATTTATGATTTTGGTTGCATTTGAATATTTAGTTTTTGTGAAGCTAAAACTTTGAATATTTAGAAATAATTAAACTAAAATATTTGCTTGTTTTTAAATTGTTCGCTTTGTTTCGATGAAGCACTCACTTTGCCTCTCACTTCTTGCTTAGGACTTAGAAGACTAGTTCTCTTTACACCTTAAATAATATTGATCCCTAAGAAGTCTTTTAAAGAAAAGTTAAAACTATGAAATTCCTAGTTTGCTACGCAAATGCGATTAAATGAAGGACTACTAATCACATTTTAACTTTCAAGTCATTGATCATCAGATCACTTTGAAAGGCTAGCCCAGTGTTTTGAAAAGCGTGCCTAGGCAAAGCAAGGCAAGGCGAAGGTTTCTCGCCTGGAGGACTCCAGGCAAAACGAACGTGGCCGAAGCGAGCAAAAAGCGAACAAAGCGACCGCCTGTCACTTAAGCGACGGGAGACAAGGCGAGCACCTTAACCTTCCCAGACATTTTTTTTTTAATTTTGATTATGGGTCGTTGATTAGGCAATTGAAAAAAAAATTTAAAACATGGATACACCGAATTAATCCCTTACCCCATAAATAAAACCCAAACCTAATTTTTTTTTTCGATTGTCTTCACTGGAGCTCTGCTACACGATCGCTGGAGCTGGACTGGACCATCGTTGGAGCTAGAGTGCTGGACTGGACCATCGCCGGAGCTAGAGAGCTGGACTGGACCATCGCCAGAGCTGCTGGACCATCGCTGAACACAAGGATCACGATCGCTGCACTGTACTGCTGCTGCTTCCTCACCAACACAGGGAACAGGTAAGTCTCTTCTTCTTCTCCTCTCTTCTATTTCTATTTTCTTCTTCTTTATTCTTCTGTCTGTTACTCCTTTCTCACCGATTCTGTTTTTCTCTTCTTTTTTTTTTCTGATTCAAACAGGCAAGTCTCTTCTTCTTCTCCTCTCTTCTATTTCTGTTTTTTTCTTCTTTCTTCTTCTCTCTGCTACTCTTTCCTCACCGATTCTGTTTTTCACTTCTTCTTTTTTCTGATTTGTCTCCGATTAGTAGTCTCTTTTATTTTTTAAGCATTGATGACTTTTTTTTTTTTATGATCACTGGTCTATTTTTTATTTTTTTTTCTAATAAACAATGTTTCGAACAAAACACATTCCTTTTTTTTTTATTGATATTGATGGAATTAAACGTTTAAAAGAATTATACAAACAAATGAAAACAATGAGCTTTAATGCATTCGATACATGTGAATTTTTTTTTTTGCTCTTTGATACATGAGAAATTGTTTACATGTGAAATATGAAATTGTTTATAATTGTTATGAAATGTTATTTAGTATATGTGAATGTGCCCTTGTTCTGGTTTTACTTGCATTTAAATATTTAGCATATATAAAATTAGAACTTAGATTGTTTAGAAGTAATTAAACTAAAAAAAAATATTTTTTTTAACTATTCGCTTCACTTCGGTAAAGCGTATCGCTTTGCTTCTCGCCTAGGCGTTAGGAGCCTTGATCGTTTCGGTTCGCTTTACGCCTTAAATAACACTGGGCTAGCCTATTCTACTCCTTCCAGGAATTAAAAAAAAAAAAGCAGAGGGCAAAACCCCCAAACCATCCGAACTCTCCTACTACTGGCCCTGCATCCCAAGTAAGTATATCCAACACCGCAAGCACTATCATGGCATCACAAGATGAAACCCAAAAAGGGCCACAAAGAATAGCAGACCATCAATCTCTGGCAGCTAGAAAATGCACTGGAAGATGATCAAAGAAATATCAATAAGACTAGAACCAAAGACCCAACCCCCCCCCCCTTCAAACAGAAAAACACACTCCTAATTTCTACACCCACTCCACAAAGCCAAAAAATAAATATGCTCACCCAGTCTTCAATAAAAATAACTTATTCACTTATTTAGTAACTAGTGGAAAATTGTGCCAGACTGCCAGTATAAGCTCATGAATTAAAGCAAAATAACATCTTTTCAGCTTTGTATAAGCCAATTTACCTATTGTCACCAAGTCTCCACACCCCACTTAGAAGAAACAGGAAAATCCTAAAACAAATGACCCCAATTTCCTCAGTCCATACCTTAAAAATAGCCCACAATCAATGAATTTGATCTCAAACACAACAAGAGAAAAGCTACCATCATAGGAAATGGTAGCAAAGATAACTTTTCAGTTCTTACAACCAAATCCCAATTACAAACAGAAACCTGAAAACCTCAATTTCCAATACCCATCCCTAAAATTGGTCCTTAATCAAAGTTACTAAATCAAAAAGAAGAAAGATACAGCAATCAACCACCCAACTGATTCACAATACCATTAGTCACACAAACAAAAACAAAACACAGACACGCATATCCAACCAATCAAAACAATGTATTTTTCTGTAGCCATTGCACAATAGGTACATATAAGTGCAGAGAACGAGAAAGAGAAAAGAGAGGACCTGGTGGCTGTGGTGATGGTGGAGGAGGAGGGAGACGTTTGCGGAGAACGGTGGAGAAGAAGTAATGAGCGGTAGAGGAGATAATTTTGGAAGCCGGGTCCACCACGAGCTTCGACAACCAACTGCCGCTACTCCTGCTAGGGTTTCTGGGAGCTGTGAGTGGTCGATCGTACGGCGTCGTTTGGGGCCTTCGAAATGGCCTTTTCCGGAATTTCCCACCTGCTCCTCCAGTTTCGTGTGAGGAGGCTGTTCCATCGCCCGCCGTCGCCATTGAAGGTCCAGGAAGCATTCGAAGAGAGAGAAAGTTGGGGGTAGTGAGAGAGGAAGAGAAGATGGGCAAATTAGGGCTTTTAATTGTAAAGAAGAGACAGAGAACTTAAAACAAAATAATTCTGTTTCTGTTTCTGTTCGTGGGAGCGTGGTGAGAGAGAGAGAGAGAGAGTTTTGTCATTTTGTGCGCGCGCTTTGGGAAGTGCATTTGAAGTACCAATTAGTTAGTTTCGAGTAAAATTAAATTACAGCCAAGTAGATTGATAAAACTAACAGGCAAATTAATACTATTTATGTCTAGTATTCTAGTCTCTCCGTTCCTAAATGTATGTCGTTTAAGATTTTTGTACAGAAATTAAAAAAGTTATTTAATAACTCTAGTATGAATAAAAAATAATTGAACAAGATTTAAATACTCTTATTCAATATATATTAGGAAGGAAGTGAATATAAAAGACACTTAGTCTACACTTAATCTATAAAGTATTTATTGGAAAACAGAGATAAGGAAAAATTTGGAAGAAAAAATATTAATTATATTTTAGTTTCATAAAACAACAGATATTGTGGAACAAAAAAAATTGGATAAAACGACAGATATTGTGGAACGAAAGAAGTAATGTTTATAATATTATTTAGGAAAATTTTCATCTACACCACCCTCTAATTATGTCTAAATTCAATGACACTTACTCTTGATTCTGAAATTTCACTGCACCTCATTATAGTTTATACTTTCAAATCAAAAACACTCCTTTAACAGTAATTTTTAACTATATCTATACAAAAAGTAACGATTTGATTATAAATTTTTTTAAAATGTCAAAACTACCATTTCTTATGTAAATATATTAAAATACCATCAACTATTTTTCTCACTATATGTATCACACATTTTGTTATTTGTCAAAGTCCAAAACGATCTAGGATTGCTGGAAAACGTAGAGGACTAAAGTCAGCCATTATTTTTCAACTCGTTCTCCACAGTGAACAATCACTAACTAAGTTGGTAAAAAAAAATTATTTTTTTCATGCAGATTTGTAAATGTTTTTCATGTGGGTTTTTTTTTTCATGTATTATTTTTTTTTTAATTTTTTTTTCATGCAAATAGGGTTAATTTTTTTCACTTAAATTTTTTTAAAATTTTTTTCATCCAAAATACTTGTTAGACTTTTAAGTCATTAAATCCATTTCTTATAAGTTGTTGGATAAGAAGTGCACTTTTTGATTTTTTATTTTTTTATATTACCTAAGTTTCCTCAGTGGTATCTTTTTGATTGTTCGTTATAAATTACAGGTTTTTAAATTTATTTTATATTTAAAAATAATTTTTTTTATAAAAAAATTGCAATCAATAAAGTCAATGTCAAAATTTATCCATTTTTAACTTTTATGCTATTGTTTGTCTTTCATAAAGTCACTTGACCACCCTTCATATATAAAATTTAAATATGATTTGATAAAATTTAATATTAATTAAATAAATTTGGTCTTAATATGATAGATTTAAATATTAATTTAGTTTTAATTTGATAAAATTAAATATTAATTCAGTATTGATTTGATAAAATTTAATGTTACTTAAATAAATTTAAATGTTGTTTTAATGAAATTGAATGTTCATTTGCTGTTAAATTAAATAATTGACATTAATTTGATAAGGTTAAATGTTAAATTAATAAAATTTAATGTCAATTTGGTGTTGATTTGATAAAATTAAATAATAATTTAATATTAAATTAAAAAAACAATATTAATTTGATGAAATAAAATATTAAATTAATACAACTAAATGCTAATTTGATAAAATTAAATATCAATGTGTGTTGATTTGATAAGAAGAAATATTAACTTAGTTTAAATTAAATAAAGGATATTAATTTGATAAAATTAAATATTAAATTGATGAATCTAAAGGTTAATGTAATAGAAATAAAAGGGAGTGCATTAAAAATTTATAATTAGGAGGGGGTGTCATTGAAGTTATGTTTATTTACAAGGGGTATCGTTGAAGTTATGTCTATTTACAAGGGATGTGGATAAAATTTACCTTATAAAATATTTAGTGGTATTTTTATAAATTAACAATATTTGTTAACGCCGTAATCCAACAAATACTGACAGGGGTGACAATAAAATTTTAGAATTGGAGGGAGTGTTATTAAATTTAAACTTAATTACGGGGGATGTGGATGAAATTTTCCCTACTATTTAATTTTTTGAAAGTTGGAATAACTAACCTTAACTCCCTTATTTAACTCCACTCAAGCATATCTGTGTATAAAATGTCACTATTCTACTCTAATTTTAATCCTATTTAACTGTTTATTTCTCTATGCACACGGGAATAATCGTGTGTGAAGCGTCTATTATGTAAAAAGTGGGAGTTTGATCACTTCAGTATGAAATTGTTGTCTAAATCTATTCAGATATTATTTTAATTTAATTTATTACGATCATTAAATTAAATTGGCATAAATCACATATATATTATACTCATTACAGTTCCTATAGGAGCAATGAACTAAATAACAAAATTAGGTCCAAAATATAAGTCATGTGGTTGACTGTTTAGTGGGAACATGGATGACAAATCTTGAAGGAGTGAACTGGTTTGTACAATTGATTCACTAACTGCACCTCATCCATAAATTGGTTTCTACATCAATTATTGTTCTCTTCTATTCACACTCCCCCTCCCTCCGATGGTCAACCCCTTCCAACTATTCTTAGCTTCTATCATCTTCTCCTCTTCATCTTCACACTTATTCTTCTCTTCCCCTAAAGGGCAACCCGTTGAGCAAGAAATATTTTGAAGCCCAAAGAAGAAATAATAAATGATAACTTTTATTTTTAATATTAATAAAAAAATTATTTAAAATCTTATTCGTCTCCCATTTTTAGAATGCAAAAGTACTAATTAAGTTCTTATATTTAAGTTTTGCTATCACAATTTTTAAATTAAACTTAATCTTATATTTTTCCTCTCCGAATGATTATTTTCTAGATGGCATAGTAAAAACAGATCGTCAAAAAAATAGCTACAATTAATCATACACAATCTATTAAAAATATAATACAATCTTGAAATTTATCTAAAGCTATAGAATAATAGAACTTGATTTATCACAATTCCTCACAAAATTTTTGTTATCACCGACTACAACCCAATATCCCAAGCTTGCCGACTGACATGCAAAATGTGAATGGACTTTTATGTCTATTTTGAAGAATATGTGTAAGAAGAAAGAAATTCTGACACATTTCAAAATTTGGAGTTTTGGCTCGGGATTGAACCAAGCTTGTAAAGGCTTCGTCTAGCTTCTTCCAAGATTGCTCTGCAGCATACGCATGCTACAAGAGGTAGGATTCCCTTCTATTTAAATTTACTTTCAACTTAGGGTTGCTATATGAAATGGGTAAGGTTATGGGTGTGTGTACCACATGTTTTAAATCTTGACCAGTGTTTGATAAAAAAAAAAAAACTCTTGACTAGTGTAACTAGTGGGTTAAGATTGAAAGAATTTTGTCTATGTTGTCATGGGCAGAGAGAGAAAGAGAGGGAGAGGGATAGGAAAAAAGAGAGAAGGTGTGTGTTATGTTTCAAGAATTTTTAAGTTTTAGTCTTTTACCACCCGAGGGGTTAAGACTTGACTTTTCAATAGTTATATTTTTAGCGTTAACTCTTTTTTTTTCAAAAAATTTATTCTTAAGAGCCTTTGATTCAAGTAAAAAGTGGAGGCTAATATAATATACTCATCTTTTTTGCCAATGTGGACAAGCACAAACTTTTTAAGTCATCAAGTACGTATATGATAGAACATATGAGGAAGTGTATGGTGCTAAATTGTTATTTTTGTTGTAAATATATTTTATATAGGTATGTAAGAACTCTAGTCTACCAATTTAATAGAAGTTAGTATTTCACTCTATAATTCTGCCCAGAATTAATATTGTATTTGATGAACATTATGATTTGAGGCCTATAAAAGGAGGTCTTCACCACATTGAAAAACACACAAGTTGAGAAGTTCATTCTCTAGCATGTATATATTCTCTGCATTCGCTTTGTAAGTTTATATAATTCTCTTACTTTCACAACACGTTATCAGCACGAGACTCCACCTCCCTTGTTCTTTCTCTCATAAAAGAAGATTCAGTTTCAAGCTATAAAGAATTGAAAATTTGAATTTTTGCAATAAGTATTACTACTATAATCAATATTATATTTGTTTTGTGTTCATTCCTTATATCTATTTTGATTGTAGTTTTACTATCATTGATGTGATGCTGTTTTAATTTTCTGAACCAAGTTCCTGAAGAGTTTTTGATAAATTGCATATGATAATACAAGCTCCAGAAAAGACTTGTCTAAATCAATTTTATAGGTTCATTGATAATTTATTCATCATCTTTTAGTTTTGTCTATAATGGTTTACAATCATAGATAGATTAGTTCATTAAATATTACATGGACAATGTTTTTTTTGATTCACTAATTATTCACTCCTGCCAAATTGGATCTTTTATATTTACATGATTAGATTATTAGCTATAATATTTTTTTCTTTCAATTCTAAATATGTTTGTTTTAATCACATTTAGACCATGTTGAACCTCACAAAACTTGAGATTGTCACTCTTGATATTTCGGGCAACAACTATCTTTCTTGGATCCTTGAGGCTGAGATCCACTTGACAGCCACAAATCTTGGTGATACTATCAAAAAAAAAATATTGCATCCCTGCAAGATCGCACAAAGACAATGATAGTTATTCGTCATCACTTTCATGAAGGATTGAAAAATGAATATCTCACGGAAAAGGATCCACTTTGTCCTTTGGGATAAATTAAAGGAACGATATGACCACCAAAAGACTTTTATACTTCTAAATGCTCGACATGAATAGATGCACCAGAGGTTGCAAGATTTTAAAAAGGTGAGCGATTATAATTCATCACTATTCAAAATCAACTCACAATTGACACTATGTGCAGAAGCAATTACTAATAAAGACATGTTAGAGAAAACATTCTCTACTTTTTATGCCTCTAATGTGCTCTTGCAACAACAATATAGAGAGCGCAGGTTCACTAAATACTCCGACTTCATATCATGTCTTCTAGTGGCTAAACAAAATAACGAGTTTTTGA